CCCCCCCCCCTCCCCCCAGAAAGCCGCCCTGGATCCGCCTATGGCTGTAGTATTATTGTACTCGGAAGCACTTAACCGTTTACGGGTTTTTCGATGGACATAAGGGACATGCTGACTGGTTTTATCAGTCAAATAGTGCTTTTTTTTGGTTTTTTTTTTTCGAATATTGGAAAACGGTTATTATAGGCATTGTGATTGAACTGTTTCGCTGCGAACAGGCATTTATGCAAGCTGTTGAAGTTACTGTTGGTAATCGCCTGTTTTATCATGTCGTTGATGATGATCGTGTTGCAATGAAAATTATGAAAGAGGTAATCCTCTTTTTTTTGGTAAAAATCAGTTTTATTTTGGAGAAATTGAGACCAAAAGCATTTTGCAAGGATCTTAAGAAACTGTATAGTTTGTGATCATGGTTTGTTTATTTTTCTTTTTCGGCTCCTCTAAAAAAACCATATTTTTTTGGAAAAAAAAAACCATATTTTCTAGCTCATTAGTTTTGTCAGCCGCATATTTTTGAAAAGTCTGTCTTCTTAGAGGAGATCCATCTTCAGCCGTCTGTGTTTACAGTTCAGGGATGAAACACAGACGTCACTTAGTTCAAATACCGATTTGCTCACGTGAGATAGCTAAACGTAACTATCATAACTATTTTTGAATGTCAGTAACTATTATAATTCGACTGCTTTTTTCTTTGTTGGCCTGCACTGCAACCGAATTACATATACAGCCGTAAGGTACGTCCTTACCTCGCCTTGCTCCAATCTTTTAACGCTTTCAGTTTGATTATTTTCATTAGCATTTTAGTAGCATTCCAAATTTTCCAGTAATTATGCTACCTGAAATTTTTTTGCTACGGGATTTTGATTTTTTTGTTGAAATATGATTTACAGAACTTCTGATTGATCTGCCATTAAAGGCAGGGAAATATGGAATTTTTTGCTTGACAATATTTCATGATACTTTTAAAATGCTTCAAAATATTCTCGAAATTTTCAAAGTGAAGATTATTAACGTGAGATCGTAATATATTGTTATGCTGCTCCGCGCAGCTGGGACTTGTTTCTCCCAGAAACCGTATGATTTTGCTTTTGCAAGAGAATTCTTGTAGACGCGTAAGGGCCGATTCTGCTTTTGGAAGAGAATTCTCGTAATCTCATGAGGCCTACACTTCCTTCTGCCCGTTTTTTGCTGATTTTTTTGGTTTTTCTGCTTTATTAGAATGAAATTTAATGACGTTTTACGAGCTGTTGATGTTTTATACACTTTACCGCGCCCACTCTATCACCGAAATTCCCAAAAAATGCCTTTTTTTCCACATGAAAAATTATGGCTTTCTTTCTGCACAGTTCCCAGCAAGATGTCAATTATTTATCTGAAGCATATTTCCTGCCAAAAGCGTGTTCAAATTTTTTTCAATTTCAGCTTTTTGTTATTTCACCTTTTGCTTTTGGAGCTTTTTTTTGTTATAATTTGCGTTATTATTGCAGATAAATCAGCAGAAATTGATGGGTGAAATAAATTTTTTCCCAATAAATCGTGTAGTTGCAAAGCCGCGAAGAGAACTAGGCACTGAGGTAATGTTCTCCAACTTTATTAGGTTACTCTGCGTTAATTGCTGTAAATAGTAATGTCTTTCGCGTTATGTTTAGTTTATTTGGTCTTGTTGAGGATAAAAAAAGACGAATACAGCTGTTTATCCCATTTTAAGCATTGCGATAAAAAAGATGTTTTACGTGCGGTATTTCTTTGTACAATCCATACCGCGGTCCATACTTAAGCAGCTGCTGGAGCGCGCATGAAGATGTCAATTTTAGTATTTCTTTCTGAATAGCGAGAAACCATCCTTTAATTTGAGTGTTGTTATACGAGCGTTTACAAATTAGGAAATTGAAGTTTTCAGTGAAATTGTTAAAGAATCGAATAACTGCTGTTTGGCGAAAATTATGGCCTGCTTGATGCCTTTTTCGAACTTATACAAGGGCAATAAAATCGTGGGAAGGGTGAACTTTTATCCCAAACATTTTGCGATCAATCTGGAAACGATCTTTCCCACCTGGATCGAATGATTAGTTAATGTCATTTGTAGCGATCGGAGACGGAAAGAGAGGGGTGCAGCCGTGGTAAGAAGGGGAAGGGGACACTCTCCTAAACTGATAAACTTTTATTAGAAAGAAAACTAAAACGCACCAATAGAAATTAAAAACAACGTATTACTGCTGACGAACGGCAGCAGATTCAAGTTGCCACCGCACAATAACTGTGACACAAAAAGCAATCAGTATTTCATTTCTGATCACATCGTTACATATCACGGAGGGGGAACTCGAGTCAGGAGACGGGACATTTGCATATCACATGGAATCAAAAGGCCGCTGGGCAAGACGAAGGGGTTTAACCGGCAGCTTCGTTTCCTTGCTATTAGCAACTTGTTCCTTTCGCAACACAGTGGCAAGGGATAAATCGTATAGCGGGATACCGCTATGTGTTCAT